GCGTTAAGGCCACCTTCAGAGCTGCGTTTTAACTTCAAAGGTCCTCTAAATACAGTCACATTCTGAGATACTGAGGTTGAGACTTCCAGGTAGGCATTTGAAGAGATAGCTCAGCCCATGACGCTCACCCCAGCATGAGCCAGACAAGACATGGAGAACCCCCTTCTGTAAGGAGATGGCAGCAAGGGAGAGGGTCCAGAGCCAGATCTAATGCTTCCTGAGTCTTGAGGCAGATGGAGCCAGGACTTACAACTCAGCCCCACAGACAGGAAGGCAGTATTCAGTCTGGCCTGCATGGTGAACTGGGCCAGAATCAAAGTGCAGAGGTGGGGCCTGCAGTCTGGGAGCTAAGTGGGGCTGGGGCTCAGGATAACTGGTGTGTGTGTGTGTGTGTGTGTGTGTGTGTGTGTGTACACTCCCGGGTTAGAGTGTCCAAGGTGGATTGAGTCTGTCACTTCCACCCCGCCTCCTACCTCTGCACCTGGCCTGACCTGGTCTCTGTGCTGATCACATCCCATCCCCAGTTCCACATCGGTCTCCCTTCAAGGAACTTTCTGGCAGCTTTTTCTTCCCAAGCTCGTGCCTGCTTCATAATGTCTGGAGGTCAGAGATCTGCACTTTGATGTAGCCACTATGCCTATTAGTGAGTGTGCACATGCACACACGCACACGTGTGCACACACTCAGGCACACACTCAGTGTCTCTGAACACTTGGCCGTGTAATCTGCCGGCTCTACTAGTCTTGCCTCCTCCTCTCATCAGCTATACCAGAATAATGCTCCCAGCACCTCCTGTACCACCCAGGGGAAACTGAGGCCCAGAGAGATTAAGACACATCCTTTCAGCCCTAGAATAAGTGAGTGGCAGAGCAGAGATTGATGCTGGAGTCTCAGGGACCTCACCCTGCTCTGTCCCCACAGGGAACCACAGGACCCCAGAAGGGTAGAGTGAGTCACAGTGGTAATGAGGTGGGGTCTGTGGGGCATGATGACATAAATATGAAAATCACAATACACTCACATCATCTTGCTGGCTCCCCTTTGTGAAGCGAGCTGTTTTCCTGATACAGGTGAGCTCCCTTTTCAGAAATCCAGTTTTCTTATCTGCAAGGTTGCCGGGGATGGGGGGGGTCAAGGGCCTGTGGGCCTAGCGCCAGCAACTCTCCCCGACATGTTCATCCAGTCTCCCTCTGGGTGCTTCCCCAACGAGGAACCCATCACGTCCGGTGTTTGGGGGTTTGTTCGGATACACCGCAGGCCTACTGCGTGCTGGCCATGTGCTAAGCACTAGCATGAGCTGAGAGCAGAGCAACACCTGTGCCGTCGTGGGGCTTAATGACTAGTGGGCAGAAACAGACACATGCACAGTTAGGTGACAAGAGGTGCTGCGAAGAAAACAAGAGGAAAGGGGCCCAGCGTCAGTGGCGCAGGCTGTGGAGCACGGAACTGAAGTGCTGGAAGCCACACGGCCCATTCTGGGCTTGGATCCCTGGATCAGCTTGAAATTACGCTTATGTGGGTGCTCGAGCTGGAGAAAGGGGATTGTGGCATGACCACACCTCGCCAAAGGTGCTCCTCTCTCTCTCCTGTGCATGTACACACTGTCTTTAAACAGAAACCAAAACAACAGGAGAGTGGAGAGTGGAGAGAGATTGTTGCGGGACAGGGGCATGCTTTTTTAGATAGATCTAGGGCAAGTCAGGGCAGATGTCCTTGAACAAAGACTGTCTGCATCGGGGAAGGGGAACATAACACAGGAGTATCACACGGAGAAAGTTTTAGGCAGAGGGAATAGCAAACGCTAAGGCCTGAGGAGGGAACACGGCTGGTCATATTCAAAGAACAGCAGCAGGAGCCAGGATGGTGGTTTGCCAGGGCAGCGCCTCACAGAGGATGGAGGGGCCGTGCACATGTGTTTCTTTCTCCAACCCTTCCCTCCTGACCCCCCACCCCATCTGATGGCCCCTGCTCCGCCCTGCCTCCAAGGGGTCCAGATGGTCAGCTGGGAAGTTAGGAGGGTGAGAGGGGACAAAGGGGGCTAAGTGCCACTTAGCAGTCTCTGGGGTCTCCTGGGATGGATAACGAGGGCAGGGTCAGTGGTTCTGGCCTACACCTCCCCTGCTCTGTCCCACCCCCGCCCGGATAGTAAGCTCTTACACTGACAGCTCATTGTCCACACCTGCCCTTCTCCAGGCCCAGAGGGGCAAGCATGGAGCCCTCCCCATCTCGGCCCCAGTTCTCGCAGACCTGGCTGCCCCACCAGAAGGATCAATGGGACCACTGGATCAGCAGTGCCTAGGCCCTCGGAGCTGCTCCACGGTTCACAGAGCAGGCCCCAGCTCCTCGGGCTGTTAGCTACTCTGCCTCCCCGTGAGAGCCAGCTGTACAGCCAATGCCACCACTGCAACTTTTGGAGATGGAAACCGAAGCTCCAAACGGGAAGCAGCTTGCGGAGTGAGCCTTTGGCAGGCAGGCAGAGGCCTGGAATTTGAGTTCCAAAGCCTCTGTTGGTTTCCTGCTGCTTCCATAGCTCAGCCCACTACCCCTTCTACCTGAGCACTTTGGGAACCCTCCCCCCAGGCTACAGGGAGAAGTCCTCAGACCAGCAGGGGAAACATAGGGCAAGATGCCAGGCACCAGCCAGGAAGGCTTTCTGGTCTCTAGAAGGTCTTCCTGTGCTCATCTTGTCTCCTGCTGCCCAGCACCACCTCAGCACTGGCAGCCAGAGTTCCCGCAGGGCCACAGAGTCCAGCAGAAAAAGCGCCAGGGAGTCCACCTCCCCTAGAAGCGGAGGGAGGCAGTCTGGGGGTTAAAGCCTGGGCTGACAGAGGGCCCGGGGACCAGAGAGCCTCAGTGGTCTGAAGGGCTGCTCAGGGGGAGCTGTAAGGAGGGGTGATGAGACCAAGTGCCACACCAAGAACTGACCTCAAGGGCCTTTGCCATGCCCTAAACCAAGTACCCCATTTAAAAATATTTTTTTCTTTATGCATGGTTGAGTGAATGTGCATGCATGTGAGAGTATGTGTGTATGAGAGAGGCGAGCGCCCCCACAGGGTTGTTTACGCCACAGTCCCCTTCCTCCAGTCCTCCAGCCTGTTGGCTTCCGGGCACTTGCACACATGCCTGGCATGTTTCAGGCGGATGGACCTAGGGATTTGAACTGCTGTTGTCACATGGGATCCAGCTGCTCTCATGTAGGGCATTACCACTGTGCCAAGGAGCCAGCTCTGCCTCATTTTTTGAATAAGGAAATTAAATGCAGATTTAAAAAATAGAGCAGGGGGACCAGCAGATGGCATAATGGCTACATTGCTGGAGTCCCACGTAGTTGACCATGGTTCAAGTCCTGGACCCGGTGGCCTAAACTCAAGCCAGGTGTGTGTGCGTACGTGCCCAAGATCCTGAGAGGAGAGTGGAGGAGAAGGGATTGTGGCATGGCCATCCCCCCTGGGGGGTGATTTCTCACTTTCTATCTCTTCGTCTCTTCAGCAAGTGCATGCACCTTATAGCAAAAAATCTCTCTACAACAACAATAATACTAAATAAAATAAAAAATAGAGCGAAGACACCAGAGCCTCCAGAGCAGGGAATTTCACTGCTGTGTGAGGAGCTGGTGTGAATGTCTGTGGAACTGTCACAGTGTAGCTGACAGTGACAAAATGATAACTACGTGTAAGCTGCAAGTACTGTCTAGTGCCAGCGAGGAAGGTCCTCCTTGGGACAGAGAGCACTGCAAATTAGCCATGATGCGTTGGAGATGTCCTGAGTGCGGGCCCATAGATAACTAACTCCCACACAGGCAGGATGTGAGTGGCCCCCCTCACTGAAGACAAAGCTCTGAGGAAATCAAGAGCACATCTTGGAGGACTTCGTGGAAGAAGTGGTATTGGAGCTGCCCCTTGGAGGAAGAGTCAAAGGTAGACAGGAGAGGAGAGAATTGGGTACAGCATGAGCAGAGGAAGGAGGGAAAGCCGAGTCTGAGAGCAACGACAGCAGTGAGTCATGCCATCAGCAGGGACTTGGTAGAGAGTCCTTGGGGAAAGAAGGACTCGGGACCACACGTGGAGGGCCCTTAGTTCCACGCTCAGGCAGAAAGAGCGTGTGGACTGTATTGTGTAAGTAGACAGGAGAGGTTCTTTAATAATATACATGCCCATCTGCACGGTGGTGCCATTTACAGAGTGCGGTCTTACTCAGTTCTCAAAACCAAAGAGGACCACACTGCCTCCTGAGAGCCCAGTGTCGTCGGTGTGATCCTGATTCTCAGGTTGAGGAACGTGACTCGGAGGGGTTCGCAGGAGATCCAGCAGAGCACCTCCAACCTCCAGCATAGGGCCTTCCATTCCTCGAAAGTGCCCAACAGGTCTTGAGCTGGGACTGACGGGGCAGAGAGGTCTGATCTGAGTTCAGGAGGAAGAACTCTGGCTGCTGAGGAAGGGAAACCAAGTTGGGGAGTGTTATGCTGTCATAGCAACAGGAGCACAGGTAGATCCGGGGTAGGGGACCAGGAATGGAGGACAGGGGACAGCCCAGGACATACCATTGAGTCCAGAGGAAGGACTGCTAGAACTTGGCAGTTTCCTGGGTGGGGGTGTGGGGCCTGAGGATAAAGCTCCCTGTTGGTATAATGTGGCCCGAGGGAGCTGGGGGCCCACACCTCCCAAGACAACTGGTGCAGTAGGAAAGGGCCTGGGAGTCAGGTGGCTCCAAGTTCAAGTCCTTTCTGCTCATGGAACTGAGTTACTTAAGTGCCCGGTACCTCAGTTCCTTCAGATCTGCTAGATACAAGATCAGACACTCAGAGAAGTTATTGATAGAAAACTGGTTGAATCAATGGAGCTGCTCATAATTCCTACCTCGGAGGATTGATCTGAAGATCAAAGAAGCTAATGCTGGCGAGCCCAGAGTGCGGGGTGCAGGGATCACAGTAAAAGCAGACACTTCCCAGCGCCAGACCCCATGCTCAGGCCTCTGTGCACACGACATTGGAGAGGCCCGCGATGGCACTTGGAGGCAGAAACCATTTCTATGCTTACTGCACAGATGAGGCCACAGGCAGAGAAAACCTCACCAAGCTTCAGGAGGCTTTGCAGGGGGATTAGCTTTCTTTCCCCCATGTTGCAGACAAAGAAATGAAGCAGCTGGGAGAGGGTCGTTGGCGCACCAGCAAAGGTGGTGCCAGGCTCAGAGCCCGGCCCAGGCTGGACAGAGCCAGGCTGAGCTGCACACCCTGGAGAGGGGACAGCCTTCTGTGGTGGTGGGAGGAGGGGATGCCTGAAACAGGCCGTCTCCTGATTACTCTGGCCCTCTTTCCTGTCTGTCCCTAGCACCCAGCCGCTCCCACCCGGCCAGTCCCAGTCCGCCGGGGCCGCAGGCCAGCCCGGTGTTGCCGGTCAGCTACCGCCTGTCGCACACACGGCTGGCCTTCTTCCTGCGGGAGGCGCGGCCCCCATCACCCGCAGTGGCCAACGGCACCCTGCAGCGCTCCGAGCCCTTCGTGGTGTTCCAGACCAAGGAGCTGCCAGTCCTCAACGTGTCCTTGGGGCCCTTCAGCACCAGCCAGGTGGTGGCGCGGGAGCTCCTGCAGCCGTCCAGCACCCTGGACATCCCCGAGCGCCTGACGGTCAACTGGAAGGTGCGGGCTTTCATCGTGCGCGCCCGCGTGCCCGCCTCGCAGCCCGTGGCGCAGGTGCTGTTCTACGTGGCCGGCCGGGACTGGGACGACTTCGGCGTCACTGAGCGGCTGCCCTGTGTGCGTCTGCACGCCTTCCGCGACGCCCGGGAGGTCAAGAGCTCCTGCCGCCTCAGCGGGGGCCTGGCTACCTGTCTTGTGCGCGCTGAGCTGCCCCTGGCCTGGTTCGGGCCCCCGGCCCCGGCAGCGCCGCCCACGGTCCGCCGCAAGTCTCCCGCGGGGGTGGCCGAGGCGGCGGGGGAGAGCCAGCAGGCTGAGCTCTACTACACCCTCCACGCCCCGGATGCGTCGGGGGGCTGCGGGGGCACCCGTCGGGGGGCCGGGCCCGGGGCGGGGGCCAGGGCAGAGAGCCCCACCCAGCACCCCCTGCTGCGCATCGGGAGCATCAGCCTGTTCCGCCCGCCCCCCAGGAGGACCCTGCAGGAGCACAGGCTGGACAGCAACCTGGTGATCCGCCTGCCGGATCGGCCCCTCAAGCCTGGGGAAGTGCTCAGCATCCTCCTCTATCTGGCCCCCAACTCCTCCTCGCCCTCCAGCCCCAGCGTGGAGCGCTTCACACTCAGGTAGTGGGTTGGGGTCCGTTTCTCTTCCAAGAGCAAATGCTCACCTGACAACCCCCCCAACACACACACACACCCCAGGGGTCTCCCAGCTGGGTCCTGGTCTAGCCTCGAGCAACTTCAGAACACATCACTAATGTTTATGCGCACCCCAGTATTCTTATCTATCAACCGCGATGCCCACCTCCACCCCTATCCCATCGCAGTGGAGTTATGGAGAGGGAGAATGTCTGTTTTCACAAGCGTGGATGTCCGGAATGACAGAATGGGGGCTGGCAGGGACCTTACACCTAAGCTGGTACCACTCCCATTTCCCAGATGAGGAGACTGAGCCCAAAGAGGAAAAATGGAGATCAGAAAGCAGCCCCTTGACTGGGAGCCAACGAATGAACAAGAGCGTGTGCCTGTGGGGACATTTGTCCACTCTTAGAGCTGGGAGACAAGTTCTCGGGAGGCCCAACTCCTCCTATGCCTGAAGGACACAGCCTAGCAATTCAAAGACGCCAGAAACCACATCACATTGTCACAGCACAGCCGTGTCTTACAGGACAGATCATGTGGAATGATTCTGAGGATATAGGAAAGGCACCATGAAAACGCTCCCATCCCCCGGCACTATGCATAGGAATTGAAACTTCCTCAGTAGCCGCCAACTTCTTTGAGCTAAATACTGCCTTCTCTCCTGAGTGAACTAAATAAAATTAAAATATTCTAGAAAAGGGCCCTTCCCGATTGAAGGATCGATATCTGAATTGTGAACCTGAGTTAAGTCGGTCATCAGAGGTGGTGGGCTGCATTAATAGATGTAGAACACGTAGGACGAGGGAGATGCTGAACACCCTACTTTAGTCCATCTTGATTCTAGCACAGCTGAAGTGTTGTATTTCGTACAGGATACTACACTTTATGTGTTCAGAGTGTCCAGAGGGGGATGACGAGGCTATGAGGTGATTTAAAAACTTGCGAGGGAACCAGCAGTTAGCGTAATGGCTATGTCGCTGGACTCCCACGTAGTCGACCGCGGTTCGTGTCCCGGACTCGGTGGCTTGAAACTCACGCCGGGCGCATGTGCGTGCGTGCCCAAGATCCTGAGAGGAGAATGGAGGAGAAGGGATTGCGGCGTGACCATCCCCCCTGGGGGGTGATTTCTCGCTTTCTGTCTCTATGTCTCTCTCTGTCTGTCTGGAGAGCGCACGCGCCCTACAGTGAAAATCTCTCCAAAAAAACCCAAAACAAAACAAAACAAAAAAACTTGCGAAATAAATAAATAAATAAACCAACAAAACAAAACAAAAACACCACAATTATTGGAGGAATTGGAGAAAAGGAGACTCAGAAAGCAAATGTCCACTTCTTTCTAAAGAACTGTTCCAGTTAGGATGAACTGGAACAGCAGGACCCAAGGCTGCTGTGTTCCTGCTAAATGCAGTGGAGATGTTTCCAGTCTTTTTGGGTTTTCTGAAAGAACCACACATGTGCAGTGGTCATGAGTCCCCTTTCACTGAGGTGTGCATGCAGATTGGAAAACACTTGGTAGGGATATGGTAGAAGTGATGGCAGCTTCCACTGAGAGTCAGAAGTCTCCACTACAGAACACCAGCTTCCCCAATGGATTAAGTTTCAAACACTGAGCCTAGGACTCAGGGCAACTTAGCTCACCTGCTCCCCCTACTGACCACCCCAGCCTAGAGGAGGTAGCCTGACCCTCTTCTTTTTCCTGCTTTTTTGTTCCAGGGTGAAGGCCAAGAAGGGGGTGACTCTTCTAGGCACCAAGTCACGGAGTGGCCAGTGGCATGTGACCTCGGAGCTGCTGACTGGAGCAAAGCATTCCACAGCTACCGTGGATGTGACCTGGGCTCAGGGCACACCCCTGCCCCCATGGTGAGTCCGGGGTGGCACCTCTGCCCACGTCTTTGCAGAAAGGAGCCTGGGAGGGTGGGGAATCCTTGGTGGAGAAGGCTGGCCTCTCCGAGGGCTGGGACTTGGTTGACGGGGACTCTGAGGGCCAGCCTCTAAGGTGGGCTCTTGGGGCTGGGGCCACCAGGGTGAACTGGAAGAGGCCCTTCTGCGAGGGCCCTGTGAGGGTTTTGGAGCTCCTGGGCTGTTTCCCAGCCCTTCATCTTCTGGTCTCTTCCTTCTCCACCTGGCAGGGAGGGCCAGGGACCCCTGGAGATCCTGCAGTTGGACTTCGAGATGGAGAACTTCACCAGCCAATCGGTCAAGCGGAGGATCATGTGGCATATCGACTACCGCGGCCACGGAGCCCTGCCCGACCTGGAGCGGGCGGTCACCGAGCTGACAGTCATCCAGCGGGATGTGCAGGCCATCCTGCCCCTGGCCATGGTGAGCAGGGTGGGGGCCTGTGTGTGCTAGCATGTGTGCGTGGGACTGTCCCTGCCCAGCACACCTGTGTGAGAAGGGGCATGCCCACGTGCACCCAGAGGAGGAGGTGGTGCTCTACGGCTGACGCAGGGGAGGTCAGCAGATGCTGGAGGGTGGGGCAGAGCAGGAGGTGGCCATGGCATTGAGTCTTGAAAAATCATGTGGGAAGAAAAGCTCCTACAGTCAGGGGAGATGAAGGGGTGGCTACTGTGGGCAGGGGGCCATGTGGGCAAAGGGAAGGGGCCGGAATCTGACTGGTTTGTAAAAGGAGCAGTGGGTTTAGAAAGAAAAACACGGGCAGGAAGGCTGGAATGTTTATCTGGGACCAGCCCAAAGGACCTTGCGTGGGACCAGCCCAGGGCACCTGGAGTGGCCAGGGGAGGTTGGACCAGCCCAGAGAGGTACCTCGAAAGGCCAGGAAGACATGGGGACATCCAGGGTACCTTGAATGGCCAGAGGAACATGGGACCATCCAGGGCACCTTGAATGGCCAAGAGGTCATGGGCCAGCCCTGGGCACCTCAGATGGCCAGGGGAATGTGCTGGGCCTTACTGTGAGTGTCCTGAGGAGCACAGAAGATGCTTGAGAGCAGGTGCAGGGCCGGGAAGGGCCACTTTCTGGCAACCAAGCGAAGCACTCCCTGAGACTCCCACAGCAGCACAGGTGAGCAGATGTCTGGGAAGGAGTGCCAGGCCAGGTGTACGCCACTCTACCCCTGTGTACAAGGGGACCATGGAGTGGGAGCAGCCAGGAGCTAGGGACCGTGAGCAGCCCCCCCCCCTTTTTTTCTCCTCCCCGCCAGGACACAGAGATCATCAACACAGCCATCCTGACCGGCCGGACGGTGGCCATCCCTGTCAAGGTCATCGCCATTGAGGTGACCGGCCTGGTCCTGGATGTCTCTGCCCTAGTGGAATGCGAGTCTGACAACGAGGACATCATCAAGGTGGGCTTCCAGAGGTGGGGCTTCTAGGGACAAAGCTTGTGCTTTCAGGGGAGCAAACCACAGGGAAAGGGTCATATCTTAGGCAGGTCTCCTTGGTAGGCAAGGGGACAGGAAGTGGGGCCACCGGGGGTGGTGGACAGAAGGGCTGTGGGCATGCCATGTCCAGCTTGAATGGGGTGAGGAAATGCCCTGGGCACTGCTGAGCTGGTCCTGGAGGGCTGCCTGCAGGAATAGGGAATAGGCCATCTGGCGGCAGGAGGCAGTGCTGATGCCTGTATCTAACCCAACACGTCATGCGGAGTCCTACTGTGTGCCAGACACTGGGCCGGGCAACGAGGGCAGGTGAGAGATGCCTCAAAGACCTGTCTGGAACTCAGGGTGCTGGTGGTGGACTGGAGATGGAGCTCGGGGATGGGGGAGGGCGGCTACTGAAGGCCTCTCTTGGCACACACACTGGAAGTCCTCCAGCTCCTGAAGGTCCCTCCTACTCATGAACCCTCCCAACTCACCTCTTCAGGGACCCCACTGTGGCCCCAGCCCCCAGCCCAGCACATAGGACATTCAGAAACCAAATGGCCCTGTTCACCCCTCCCCAGGAGGGCTCCGGATTTTCTCCTTCCCCTGACTTTTGACAGTGGCCCCAGGTGGGATAGGGAGGAGACGGTGGAAGGACAGTGACATGAGAGGGTATCCAGTCCGATGCTTGCCAGTGGGCCAGCCATTTGCCCTGCTAGCTTCTTGCAGGTGCCAAAATCAGATGTCCTAACAACTGACTCCATTGCCTATTCCCGTCAGTAATTCAAGTGGGAGGAGAGCAGGGGAGCAGGGCTGCAGTCCCCTCCTTCCGCTCACTGGGCTCCCGCAAGCTCTTACCCTACCCTCTGCCTTGGGGCCTTCCTGGGCCTTGGAGCATGGAGCTTGCTTCGTCCATCCTTGGTCCAGGAAGAATGTCCTTTATCAGAGCCAGAGCAGATGGCTCAGTCCCCCCCCTCGCCCCCAACCCCATCACTCCTTTGAAGTAGAGACCCACGGGGCTTCCCCTGCCGGCAGGGCCTGGGAGACACGGGCCTGCTCCCAAGAGTCTCCCCAGCACCTTCTTCGGCCGTGCAGATTCCCCCACCTCCATCCCAGCCCCAGTCCCAGAGCAGGTCAGAACAAAGTTGTGATGGCTTAGATACCAGAGGGAATTAAAGGATTCTAAATGGAATTTGGTACAAATCTCAATGAAACACACAGGTTCTTTGTGGAGTTTGCCAGCACTCAAAATGGAATTTGCCAGCCTTCAGATAGAATCCTCTGCCTTCCCAAGTGAGAAATGAGCATTTCTGGCAGGGCTGTTCTCCTACTTCCCTCTCCCCACCCCTCTGAGATGATTAGAGTGGCAGGGGTTTCAGATGGTGTGGGGGCTTATCTTCCCCCACCTTAAGAGTCTTTAGGAACTCATCAGCCCCCAGTCTGCACAGTAGACCCTGCCCAAACTTGAGGGTGTGCACCCATGGGCGTGTAGAGGCAGGAGCGCCTGGACGCATGTGCACACAGGATCCACTCCACGGGGTGCCAGGTGTGTGCACGGGCACATTGAGCATGCTTGGCCATCTGTGTTCACTTTAGAGTATTGGCAGCAATGCCTCTGTGAGTGGGCACAGGTATCCACCAAGATGCTCCTACCCAGGGAACCTCTAGGAATGCAGGTTGGCGTCCAGGTGGCCATGCATTGGCCAGAGCCATGCCTCTCTGTGCTTGGGCTCCTCTGGTCTCGGGTTCTCCTTTCCCCTCCCTTACCTCCACACCTGGCTAGAGCAGCTCCCTCACCTGAAATTAACCAGCTACCCCTTCTCCCAGGCCAGAGAGTCCATGGAGGGGGTATGAGCCTACCCCTGAGCCCCCTCCTTTTCACTTCTACTTCCTCCCTGCCCTGGACAGGGGCTCTTCAGCACTGTGGCGGGCTCTACCTGCCAGACACCTGGTAGAGGGCGCCAGCACTGGGAGGCCTTGCACCTGGAACCTCCTTCAAGGTGTGGCTCTGGCAGGTCAGAAACACCCCCGGTAAACATGTGGCTCCTTGCCAAGGAACAAAACCTCCCACAGTGGCCACCCAGCGACGAGCCCTGGAGAAATGGGGTGACAGCAGGGGTGTGCGGTAGCTGATGGCTCTCCAAGGAATCAGCACCTTTTCCCGGCTGCCCTCCTGTCCTGGAACTGGCACTTTCTGTCTCTGGCCTTCCTGGCCCTGCTTGTCAGACTGAAGTGCCCTGCACTGCCCCCAGAAAGACCCAGGGCAAGACTTGCCAACGCTCTCTCTCTTTCCCAGGTGTCCAGCAGCTGCGACTATGTGGGGCTTATCTTCCCCCACCTTAAGAGTCTTTAGGAACTCATCAGCCCCCAGTCTGCACAGTAGACCCTGCCCAAACTTGAGGGTGTGCACCCATGGGCGTGTAGAGGCAGGAGCGCCTGGACGCATGTGCACACAGGATCCACTCCACGGGGTGCCAGGTGTGTGCACGGGCACATTGAGCATGCTTGGCCATCTGTGTTCACTTTAGAGTATTGGCAGCAATGCCTCTGTGAGTGGGCACAGGTATCCACCAAGATGCTCCTACCCAGGGAACCTCTAGGAATGCAGGTTGGCGTCCAGGTGGCCATGCATTGGCCAGAGCCATGCCTCTCTGTGCTTGGGCTCCTCTGGTCTCGGGTTCTCCTTTCCCCTCCCTTACCTCCACACCTGGCTAGAGCAGCTCCCTCACCTGAAATTAACCAGCTACCCCTTCTCCCAGGCCAGAGAGTCCATGGAGGGGGTATGAGCCTACCCCTGAGCCCCCTCCTTTTCACTTCTACTTCCTCCCTGCCCTGGACAGGGGCTCTTCAGCACTGTGGCGGGCTCTACCTGCCAGACACCTGGTAGAGGGCGCCAGCACTGGGAGGCCTTGCACCTGGAACCTCCTTCAAGGTGTGGCTCTGGCAGGTCAGAAACACCCCCGGTAAACATGTGGCTCCTTGCCAAGGAACAAAACCTCCCACAGTGGCCACCCAGCGACGAGCCCTGGAGAAATGGGGTGACAGCAGGGGTGTGCGGTAGCTGATGGCTCTCCAAGGAATCAGCACCTTTTCCCGGCTGCCCTCCTGTCCTGGAACTGGCACTTTCTGTCTCTGGCCTTCCTGGCCCTGCTTGTCAGACTGAAGTGCCCTGCACTGCCCCCAGAAAGACCCAGGGCAAGACTTGCCAACGCTCTCTCTCTTTCCCAGGTGTCCAGCAGCTGCGACTATGTGTTTGTGAGTGGGAAGGAGTCTCGAGGGTCCATGAACGCCAGGGTCACTTTCCGCTACGACGTCCTCAATGCTCCCCTGGAAATGACAGTCTGGGTCCCCAAGCTGCCTCTGCACATCGAGCTCTCAGATGCCCGCCTCAGCCAAGTGAAGGGCTGGAGGGTACCTATCCTTCCTGACCGGAGGTACGGCTCCGCCACGTGCAGTGGGTACTTAGGATGCTCACGGGTGGGCGTGGCCTCAACCATCTGACCTGCATATGTGCAGCAGGCCCTAGGTATACAGTCTGTAGGTGAGTTATGCAATCAGCAAACTCGTACTGAGCAGCTGTGACAGTGTGGCAGGCACTGACAGGTGTTCAAGATATGAGGTGACCCCGCCTGACCCAGCCGAGTTTCAGCAGGGCAGGCAGTTGTGTACGTGCCACAGAGCACGGTGCTCCGAGGGAAGCCCTGTGTGCAGGTATTCAAGTGGCACCGAGGGGAGAGCCTCTTCTTCCTCCAAGAAAACTCAAGGCAGGCTTCCCAGAAGAGGTGACTCTTGAGCTGTCTTTAAGGGGTTGACTGGGGAGATAGAGTGAGAAAGCAGCCAGGCAGGCAAACTGGAATGGACAGACCAGGACTGGAGCATGTGCCCCCGTACGTGCATGCTCCTGCCTTGGCACACCACGGGCATGCTCATGAGGGCATAAGCACTGGCATGCAGTTACTCACACTCAGGCACCCTGGCCAGGGTGCAGCCTCACACACCCTATCCTTCCTGACCGGAGGTACAGCCCTGTCACAGTCAGTGGTGATTGGGATGCTCACGAGTGGACACGGCCTCCACACAGGGACATGGATGAGGGGACTGCAAATCGTCGTGAAAAAAATGGAATGAGTTTAAGAGTTTATTTTGGTGCAAAAAAAATTGAAATCCATGCATTTTTCATGAGCGTTTTGGAGACCCCTCGTACATGTGCACTCATCACACTCCACTCACCCACTCAGAGCTGCTAGAGAGAAAAGCCCAGCAGGGGAGAGAACTGAGAAGTCAGCAGCTGAGAGCAGGAGGGGGCGGGGCTGGGGAGAGAAGCAGGTGGCGAGAGAAGCAGGAGGAAACAGGTGGCCACGTGAGAACTGGGCCGAGTTCAATTAGCAGAGACTGCGGAGAGCGGCGTGGTGCAGACCAGAGCCTCTCAAGCTTTAATGTGCACACGCATCACCGGGGCATCTGGGTAAATGCAGATTCTGATCCAGCGGGTCTGGGGCATAGCCCATGACTCTGCATTTCCGAGCAGCTCCCAGGTGTGGTGATGCTGCTTTGATAGTGCCGATGTGGTGAACTGGGGAGCCGGATAAGCCTGGTTTAAATCCCAGTGCTGCTATTCACTAGCTTTGTAACCTTGGGCGACTTAGATCATCTCTCTGTGCCTCAATTTGCTCACCTGTGAAATGGACATGTACTTACCCAGGGATTGTTGCAAGAGTTGAATTAGTAAACACAGGTAAAAGAGCCCTCTGTGTGAATGAATGTTCTGGTTGTTTGAGATTTCCAAAGCCCTGGCAAAGCACTAGCCACAGACAAAAGGCTTGGCATTCACTCTAGAGCACACTTTCCTGGCAGTGCTCTTGATTTTAGCATCTTCTGCGATCTGTGTAGACTGTGACATTTCCAAATTAGCAAGCCTAGGGTCCCCTTTGCTTAACAGCTTACCGGTTTCTCTCACACATTTTACTAAAAGCGACGAGAAGCAGCCAGGCTGCATCTTCCACACCTTGCTTGGAAATCTCAGCTACATAGCCAAGGTCATCACCAGTCCTGTTTTCCACACAACGGGGGGACACAATTCGGCTGAGTGTGTTGTCACTCTAAAACGAGGATCACCTTTGCTCCAGTGCAGAGCTTAGAACAATGCCAGGCGCATGCGTAGTGCTGATGAAGAGGCAGCGGTTGTTGTAAGGATTTGAGGCCATGAGTTAAGCCAAGCAGAGCCAGGAAGGGACAAAGGAGGGTCAGGCAGGTTCCCTTCCAGGAGAGAAAAGGCCAGGACTCCTGGCTCCATATTTAGATCTGGAAGTCACGAGCCAGGGAAGAGGCTTGCTGTTTGCTGAGTTTTCCCCCACAGAAAGCTGGGGAGGAACCAACAAGGCAAGGATGAGGGTCAGAGCCAAGATGAGGTGCCCTCAGCCGAGCCAGCCCTGACCCTGCTGCGTCTCCACCCCAGATCAGCTCGGGAGAGTGAGGACGAGGAGGAGGAGGAAGAGGAGCGGCGACAGAGCGCCAGCCGCGGCTGCACCCTGCAGTACCAGCACGCCACCCTGCAGGTCTTCACCCAGTTCCACACCACGTCTGCCGAGGGCACCGACCAGGTGGTCACCATGCTGGGCCCAGACTGGCTGGTGGAGGTCACTGACCTGGTCAGTGACTTCATGCGGGTGGGCGACCCCCGAGTGGCACACATGGTGGACAGCAGCACCCTGGCAGGCCTGGAGCCAGGCACCACCCCTTTTAAGGTAGGCAGGGGCTCTGCCCAGCAAAGAGCCCTGTTCACCTGTGGGAGGAGGGCTCAGGTGTTCTCAGAGCCCCAGCCTCTGGGGCAACCCCGGCGGGCCCCAGAACTCTCTTCCCCTCCGGCCCATCTGCCTGAAGTTCCACCATCAGTGGTCAAGCTCTTTTTGTTTCATTTTGGTAAAGGTTCTCAGCCCATGGCTAGTCAGCTTTTGTCACCCTTGCCTCCCTCAGTGGGATGGCTTAAGCATAACCTTTCTGGGAGCAGGTGTGGCCAGAGCAGGGGGAGCAGGGGAGGGTCAGCTGGAAGACCGGCTCAGGGATCGAGTTCAACTTTGTGTTCTCTGACATGGGTGTTAGGGTAGAAATCATACCTCAGAAATTACAAATCGTGACCCACAGGCTGCAGATATATTTTGTCAGAGAACTGATCCAACATTTAAAAACTGGGAAGTTTCTCTAGATTTTTTTAAAAAAGTCTACATTTCTGATCTTACAAAAATCAAATCTGGCAACATGGGGCCTACATTCCCACCTAGAGACAATCAGCTGGAGTCAATATTGTGCCCCTTTATGTGAAAGTAAATTCTCCCATTTGCCACAGTCCCCACCACTCCCTTTTGTCTCCCTGACATTGATGCTGAATATCACTGCTATTTTTCTCTGCATGGGTGCTGTCTTTTTTTTTTTTTTTTTCCTAATCAGTTCATCTTTCCGATCTGTGTTCTTGCCTGGCTCATGCAAGCTCTTGACCCTCTTGTGACCTCTAAATCCTAGTTCTCCCTTGCAGACCTGAGGCAGAGCCAGGAGGCCCAGCTCTCAGCCTGCCCTGCCCCTCTAGGCCCCTGTTCCAGTAATGCTGGAATCCTGATCAGGGACCCCAGATGGAAGGTGAAGGTGCTGCTGTCCCAGCTCTCTCCCAACCCTGCCCCCTGCCTCTGCCCTAGGTGGTGTCCCCGCTCACAGAGGCCGTGCTTGGGGAGACGCTGCTGACGGTGACAGAGGAGAAGGTCAGCATCACACAGCTACAGGCCCAGGTGGTGGCCAGCCTGGCCCTGTCCCTGAGGCCCAGTCCCGGGAGCAGCCACACCATCCTGGCCACCACAGCTGCCCAGCAGACCCTCAGCTTCCTCAAGCAGGTAACTGGCTGCCTGGCTGCCAGCCCTTACACCATGAGTCCCACCCAGGGTAGGGCTCTAGGTAATGGCAGGTCTGTCTATCCTCAGGGCCCTCCCATCTGCTTAGGGCATCTGGGCAAGGTCTCACATGCTGTAATTGCCATTCTGAGATGGCCACAGCAGAGGGTCTCTCAGAAAGCTGTCACCTCTGCCCCATCCTAAGGAAGTGCCTTCACCCGTGTCTGGAGTCCCAACAGCACACTACAGAACCGAGGTGGAAAGATGGCAGGTGGCAGCATGGGGGTGGAGGGGGGCGCAAAGAGGCAGGCCTCCAGTGCCAAGCCAGGAGCCAGGACCCCAATCCTCACCCTCACGTCACTCCACACCATAAACCCATTGCTTCTCTCTGAGCCCTGCTTCCTGATCTTCAGCTGGGTCAGTTCTCAGAAGGTTCGACCAACAGAGCAGGAGCCTAGAGGTGGGAGTGGATTCTCAACCTCTAGCTGTCTGGTAACAGTCACCTTGGGATCAGACATGGAGATCTGGGGCTGCTCCCACAGCAAAAGGGATCTGAGTCAGACCCAAGGCAGAACTTACCTTCAGCTAGTCAAGGGAGAGGGGCGAGAAGTCCTCTCCTCGGGGGTATGAAGCCTGGATGTCCTAACCTACCCTCAGACAGCATGCCCCTGGACGTTTACCCTCCCACACCTGTGAGGAGGGCTCTCCCAGACAACAGTTCCTAGCTGAGAACACAGCAGAAGCCAGAGAGCCTTGGTCCCGGCCCTCACCAAGCTCAGGATCTAGGAGGGCAGACAGAAGAATGAGCTATCTGACTCCTGTCCCTTCTCCTTCTCCTCCTCTTCCTCCAGGAAGCCCTCCTGAGCCTCTGGCTCTCCTATAGTGATGGCACCACGGCCCCCCTCTCCCTCTATAGCCCCCGGGACTACGGGCTGCTGGTGAGCAGCCTGGACGAGCGCGTGGCCACTGTGACCCAAGACCGGGCCTTCCCACTGGTGGTGGCGGAAGCAGAAGGGGTAGGAGAGCTGCTTCGCGCTGAGCTCACCATCGCTGAGAGCTGCCAGAAAACCAAGCGAAAGAGCGTGCTGGCCACTACCCCCGTGGGCCTGCGTGTGCACTTTGGGCGGGACGAGGAGGACCCCACTTACGACTACCCGGGCCCCAGCCAACCAGGGCCTGGTGGGGGCGAGGATGAGGCGCGCGGAGCCGGCCCGCCCGGCACTGCGGTACCGGCCCCCGAGGCCCCCGGGCGGGGCACCGCCAGCCCGGCGGAGCCGCCCACGGAAGACTTCCTGCCGCTGCCCACCGGCTTCCTGCAGATGCCGCGGGGTCTGACGGACCTGGAGATCGGCATGTACGCCCTGCTGGGCGTCTTCTGCCTCGCCATCCTGGTCTTCCTCATCAACTGCATCGTCTTCGTGCTGCGCTACCGGCACAAGCGCATCCCGCCTGAGGGCCAGACCAGCATGGACCACTCCCACCACTGGGTGTTCCTGGGCAGGGGGCAGCCGCTGCGGGTGCAGGGGGAGCTGGTGCAGGGGGAGCTCTCGCCTCCCGCCGGCAACCCGCTGGAAACTGTGCCCGCCTGCTGCCACGGCGACCACCACAGCAGCGGCAGCTCGCAGACCAGCGTCCAGAGCCAGGTGCACGGGCGAGGCGATGGCTCCTCGGGCGGCTCAGCCCGCGACCAGGCGGAGGACCCTGCCAGCTCGCCCACCTCCAAGCGCAAGCGGGTCAAGTTCACCACCTTCACCACGCTGCCCTCCGAGGAGCTGGCCTATGACTCAGTGCCTGCTGGCGAAGAGGACGAGGAGGAGGAAGAGGACCTGGGTTGGGGCTGCCCGGATGTGGCTGGCTCCACGCGGCCCGCTCCACCCCCGGACTTGCACAATTACATGCGCAGAATCAAAGAGATTGCATAGAGGCAGCATCGGGGGTGGCAGGATCGCCCCCCATCCCGGGGGGCTTCTCTGGGTGGAACACAGAGGGGACCCCCAGCCCACAGCGAGGTGGCTGGCTTGATTTTGTACTCCCTGCCCGGCAGCTCTGCTCCCGGGGTGGCTGCCTCCCTCTTCTCCCTCTTACGGCCTCCCACCGTTGCCCTTGTCTGCCCCCTGCAGGTGGAGGGCTTTCTCCGTGGTTTGCAAGGAGGAAAGCTACCCCCAGCCCTCCTTTTACCTTTTGCTAACCTCCTCCCATCTTAGGCAGCCCCCCTGCCCCACGGGTGAGGCAGGCAGACCACACTTGGAGCCAGGAGAGCCCACACTGTGCCCCAGCCCCTGCCTCCCAGGTCCCCTGTCGTCCCCTTGTGTGTGTGTGTGGGGGCCTCTGGGTGTCTTGTGTCACAGGCTGCACAAAGACTTTTCTTAAACCAATATTCAGGGATTTCTGTCCTGCAGGGTGGGGAGGCGGCGGCTGCCTGCCCTGCCAAGGATCTTGCTGTGGACAAAAACATTTGAGGGCAGGGGGACAATTGTAGCACCTGCTGGCTTCCAGGTGCCCCCGAGACCTGGTCGCTGACTCCACGGAGTAACCTGGTGCCAAGCTGGGCACCTTCTTAAGTTTTTGAGACTCCTTCCTCTGCCTCAAGGACTGCAAGCAGGGGCCTAAAGGGGAAGGAGGCCTCCATCCATCTAGCCAAACCACCGGAGCGAGAGCTGTGGTCTACAGGGCCCAGGGAGGCCTGGCTACCTCCTGCCTCCCCCACAGCAAGGTCAACACTACTTCGCCTTAGCCGCCCTCTGCTCTGCTGACCCCTCCTGGCCTCTCTGCAGGGGCAGGGCAGGCAGCACCTGACCCCCAAACACGGTCTGTAGGAGGGGGAGAAGAGGGCACCAGGGAATGCTGTGAGGGACTTTGGGGTGGGCAAAGGCCGAGGGGAGCCGGTGTCTCTCCTGCCCCATCCCACAGACACTTTCTCTCTTGGGTTCTACCCACCACTGTGTCGGATTTTTCTTAAATAAATGGAAGTGATCAGACTGGGGGTGGGGGCAACAGCTCCCAGAGAACAGACAGTATGTGGCGGCTGGCTCTGACTCTTCCTTGCATACACAGACACACACACACACACACACAGACACGTGTGTACCTGTGCATTCACGTGCACCATGGCCACACCACCTGACATGAGACTGGAATTCAGTTAAGCCATGCCGTGGTCCTGCTGTTCCTTCCCCAACGTCTAGGGGGCCTTCAGATCCTCTGGTACCATGGGGTGGCCACGTCAAAGGATGAAGGGTTCCCTGACCCAGAAATGTACCTCACCAAGTGGTGCCGTCTCAAGAAGTCTGCTATGATTGGCTCAGAGGAGGGAAGAGCAAGCCTTAGGGTCTGAAAAGGAGAAAAAGGGAGAGGCGAGAGGGTTGGTGTGCTCACCCGTGCCTTCTCCGTGTCCTTTGCTGCCTTCAGCCCACTTCTCAGGGAGATTCCTCCTCTTGTCGCCACCTCTTGAAGAAGCTCCTGTCTCCCCATGGGCTGATGGGGGGCACAGCGGTCTCTATGTTAGAGAGAGCACAACTGCACTGGGTGTGCCCCTCCCCCTTCCCTTCCTGACACATGCCTCCCATGACCCTGGGAGACCACCCCCCAGCTCAGGCAGCAAGCCAGTGGCACGCGTGCT